CATTGTTACAAGTGTTCTTTTTCCTTTTCTTTTGTTGTTATTGGTTATTTACTTGCTTTTGCTTTCTGGTGTCTGATGAAAACAACTAAAGAATTCTAAAAACTCTCTTATGACTGAGAAATTATATATCAATTAGATTGACAGCTTTATACCTAATATAATTTCAAAAAAATATAAAATTTAATTTCTTAAGATAAAGAAAATATTAAATATATGTTTATAGATATTATATAAAGAGTTGCTCTTTCTCTCAAATTTATCACATCATTTTTGTGATTATTTTTTCCATTTTTTAATAATTTGCAATATGATTGAACAGTTATGAAATTGATTCTGAGAAAAATGTTAAATATAATTAAATGATGTTACATGTTCCTAGAACAAGCAGATCATTTACTTTTATGCATTTTTTTTTTTAATTATTTTCCTTTTCTGAAATTTCCACCTGACTCTGGTAGTTTTATTTTATTCCTCCAACAATGTACAATTTTGAAGAATATTTGGCTTTTACATACCAGTCCCATTCACTCTGGTTGATCTTCTATTACATAATTTTTATCTGAATGATGATATGTAGGTGTATACATACATATTGCTAATTCTTTTTTTCTATGTTGGATTTCTACCTTCACCTTAGGATGAGTGTATAGTCATAATAGCTATCATCATAATGTCTTGATGATTTTAAATTCAGAATATTGTAGATTTTGATCCAATTAACTATGGATGACAAATTTCTGTTAATTGCATTTCTGTGGCTTAATTGTGAATGACTGAAACTTCTCTCACTTAATGGATTAACATTTTTTAAAAAAACTTCTATGATAAATTTTGTGGGGTATGGATAAATTTTAATGTCATAAATGTTTGCTTTTGTTTTATTGTGTGTAAATCCAAATGGTATTTTGTTTTTGTTAGCAGTGGCTGTTACTTTTGATTGGAAAATTAGCTTATTTATTGTTGTTATATTTTATAAATTTGGTTGAAATATTCACACATCACTTCTCTTTCATTTAGTTCTCAAGAGCACCACTTCCCCACCCACCCCAAAAATACACACATTTTTAAGCAATTCCATACAAAATCTTTATCTGTCTTCAGTTGTAAGAGCATCATAGTACTGACCAATTTTGTTTATTAGCTATATCTCACTGAAACAGTAGTGCTTGTCACTGTATTACATGTAGGTATTCATGTATTAACACTTATTTCCTATTAGGTAGTAAATTCCTTCTGTACACTTAAGAAAATTATGTTCTTTTAATATTAATATTAAAGACACTCAAAGTTTTGTAATAATTCTATGTAAATATAAAAAAAACTTTTACTCAGAAGCTATTAGATTTTTAATATATTCATTGTGTGTGTGTGTGTATTTGGGTGTGCACACTCACATGCACACATACATGCACACTGATTTTCCTATCTATATCTACCAGTATATATGCATTTTGTTGGAATTAACTCTGTCTCTTCAAATTTTATCAAGTCTAAAAATATTAAATTCATGGAAAACCTGTTTTATGCTTTCGAAAAATTGAAAGTATTAGGGAATCTTTTTCTCTTAGCATAAGAAATTAATAAGTGTGTGATTTATCCCATTACTACTTGCAACATACTATGTACCTCATTTATGCAATAATTCCCAAATTTTGTCCTCTCTTAAAATGATATCTTAATAAGTTTAAGAAAATAAAATAACTTTGACATTTTAATATGCCAAAAACAAAATTTGGTCTAAATATTTTAAGCTGTTTCTTTGGAGTTAACATCAACCATATTTATTTTAAAAAAATTAACTAAAAATAACTGCTATTAGTTGCATTGGTACAGGAGGATCATGGGTTGATTATGGTTTAAATAAAAAAAAGATTGATTCTGGTCTCCTTGATAGAAAAATTTGAACATTATTTGCTTTGGGCTTAAGATATTCTTGATAGTACAAAATGTCATTTACAATACACATTATGACAAATAATTTTTCTGGATTTATTTTTTTTTTGTACAGAGATAAAAAGATTTTTCTAGAATAATGTTTGTTTCTCATTTGTTTTTCTTATGAAAACTCATAATAAAATTACCAACCATAATAACTAATAGCATAATGGATTGTATTTTAATATGAAAGTAATGTTCACATTCAACAGAAGCATGTTTTTAAATTTTCATGGGTTTATTTCTTTAGAGCAAAATACAAAAGATACAGCAATAATTGTTTCATAAAAATTGTATCAAAACATTACAAAAAAATCTACTGAAATAGACTTTGTCATGTGGTCATTTAAGTTGTAAAAAAGATAGAAAATATTTACCTTTTCAGTACTTGATGAATCCACAGTCCATATATGTAGATAAATTTCATTTTGTAAATTTTCAGAAAGCATTTACTCATAATGTGTCTTCAATGTATGATTAAATGGTTTAAGCTTGCTTCTTGACTTTTGTCTCTTGAAACAGGTTTTTGAATGAATTTGCCTGTATGGTCTGGGTGCAGGTAGCTTTATTATGATAATCCCAGTTGTTGATATATACACATATATATATATATATAGAGAGAGAGAGAGAGAATTAATACAAATACTATATATTTTAAAATATCTTTAATAAATGCTGCCACTGCCTTGCATCTGTCTTGATTTAACAAAAAATAATCTTAATGATTAACTTATTTACTATAATTGAGATTTTTTATTATTATTATTATTATTATAGTTTTATCTATTTGTAACAGAAGTAGTCATACAGTTTATATTTTGTCCTTTGAAAGTCTTGTATTGTTGAAAACTTAATATTATCTCAACATTTTAATTGTTGATTCTTATTTTGGTTGCTCTTTTTAATAGATTTTAATTTGCTTGCCCACAAAACATTATCTGGGGATATTTATAGTTTATATGATTTGTACAACCTTGATTGTCCCTTCTACAATATATTGGAATGTGTTTGGGGGATCTTTTCTTTGAAAAAGAAAAGTCATCTGACCATCCAACTATTAAAATCTTAAGAAAAACAAAGTTGAACATTTTAGCTTTCATACTTTAACAGTGGGTTGACAACTTTCTGACCATGGTAGGGGAATTTAATAAAGTAGATGTGTTGATCATTTTGTATTTTTATTGAAGTCACATAATTTCACAAACTTGAGAATTTGCCAAATATGACGGTATCTACTGAAATTTTATTTATCTAAATATTATCTGTACAGAATATTTTTATATGTCTGTATTTGTTATTCTGACTAATATCCTCTTCATTTTAACTCTGGACAATATCAAAATTACTTTATATCAATGTCATTTAATATCTCTTCAACTATTCAACCTACGAAGCTGAAATAATTTGGTAGCAAACTGAAATTCTGAAACAGTATTTACATTAGTCGGACTATTGTCCTCATCTTTGTCGCCATATTTGTCACTTTTACGCCGTTGTAGCTCCGCCTTTCTTCAGGTGGTTGGAATTTAACTGAACCCTTTATTTATCTGGGGTAGACTGTTCTAATTCCGTTGTTTTTGATGGATGTCAGTTATCAGTTATCTTTTCTAATTTTCCCTCTGAAAGTTCTCCACTGCCTTAACCAGGAATTGAACTCACCTTCTTTGGGTCTGTCACTGGATCTAACCAACGCCTTTATCCACTGTGCTTGAGGACATCTGGGTATGAAAGTATTATAAACCTAATGTTTTCAGCATCATTTTTACCAGTGCTCATATTGCAATTTTTGCTGTTATCATTGCATGTCTTTTACAGAGTTCATATTCAACTTTGTTATCATTGCTTTTCTCTGGCACTCCTTATTACTGGTTCCCATATTGTATTTATTTCTATGCTTGGTCGGCTCAGGAGATTTTTGTGGCCTAATATGTGCTGATTCCTTAAGTTTACCAATGGTGACAAATATGGCTGATGAGGACAATAGTCCGACTAATAAATACTGTTAATACCTCATCTCAGAAATATAGACAAACTCTGAAATTCTGAAAGTTTATTGTTTCTATAAATTGTACTTGATACCCCACTCAACAAAAAATTGAAATGTTTTTAAATACTGCATAAAATAGCCTTATTACAATTCTTTATATTTATATCCTCCACAAATCATGCTCAAAGCATCACATTCTTGAAAATTTAGACAAGGGCAGGTTGAGGGGGGGGTCTTTCTTTGCCGTTAAAAGGGTAAACAAATGAAAACGCTCTGTTAGCCTTAAAATAGTCTGTTCTGAACTTAAATAGACCAGCTCAAAATCACATGAATAAAACACTGTTCAGCAAACTGGAGAAATTTAATTATAATATCCACAATAAAATTCAGCATCCAAGAATTCAATTAACTTTGCTACTGTTTCGATATTGTCTCCAAATACAAGATACCTGTGGTAAATATAACTTAAAAATTGAAATAAAAGCAGTACTGATGAGGATATTGGTCTTTTTTATAAATTAATCATCCTCAATTAAGCCTATTGGAATTGATTTATGTTTTCTATTTGTTTAAATTGTATTCATATTTTTCATGGTGCCACACTTATGTATTTTTATAAAGGCTTTATGTATATATTGTGAAAAGGATTATTTATGTAGAGGAATACTATATTTGTCTTTTTTTATTGTCCAAATTTTATGCTTTTAGATATTGTTTGTGTGTTTGCCATTTTTATTTATGTGTTCTAAATTATTTGATTAGAATTTACTGAATAATGAATTATTATTTTTATCAGGAGAAAAATTAAGATGAAACATTAAATATTTTAAATTAAATATTCAGTTACAAATTTTACTTGTAAAATTAAAATTTATTTGTCACTGTAATCTTATAGATTTTTTAGCTCTCAGTATTTGAAGAGTGAAAATCAGTTATTCATTGTAATATCTAATTAAAGTTAGTTTCCTGTAATCAAACTTCACTTGATTAACTTACTGTTTATTATATATTAGTTTAAACCAGTTTTGTCAATGTAGAAGTTGATAATTTCAACTAATTCTTATTTTGTCACTTGTAGAAAAAGGATGCCAACATTAAAGTGATTCCAGCATTCAAACCAGTCTCCTGTGAGATGAGCACCCCTGAATCCACTCCTGAAAAGAGTTTTCCTGCCCGGTTAGACAAGGAAAGAGAAAGATCAAAGGTAATCCTAAATTAACTAAATAAATACAACTTTAGAAGCATTAAATTAGTAAATGAAATTTATTGTATTAATAAATCTATAAAGATTTGTTTTTTTTCCAGCAATGTTCCTTATGTTATCTAATATTTCCTAATTATTAAAAGAAATACATGAGCATCAATGTGCAAGTCTATATACATATGCATGCATTAATTGCATTTGGAAAATTATTGTATGAGAGAGGAGCAACTTTGATGATCTTTAAAGTGTCCAGATCATGAAAGATGCTGAGAAATAATGCCATAGCTCAAAATAAATATAATTAAAAAAAAATAGTTTTGATACTAAAACTGGCTCTTGACTTAAACGTAATTCTGCAATCAAGGTTGATTGTGGTTATACATTTGAAATCAGATAGAAAATGTTTACTTATATCAGATGAGCTACCAAGAATTAGCAAACAATTTGTCTACATCTCTGCATAGCTTTTTAGCTGTTTTCTGTACAAATAAATAAAATGAAAAAATAACAAACTGAACTTTGCAATTTTTAGCTAATATTTGTTTTAGTAAACTTTATCATTAATAGAGAAAATTTGTAATTAAGGCAAAACTGACTTTTAAGGATTATATGTCTAATGCAAATGCATTGGTAACAATTTTAATATAGAAAAAGCATTGAGAATCAAGAGAAATTGATTGTTAGGAATTTATGCAAGTATTATGACAGAATGGGGCTGTTATATATATATATTTTTTTATTATAATAGATTATAATAAAACATTTTACATCACTACACAAAAGTTTTCATGTTTCAATACTATGATTGTACTTCCTCAGGTGATGGTAGATACCTTATGATAAAAATGATTTATTAGGGAAATTTAAAAACAAATCATTAGCTCTTTTTGGAAGTTAAAGAGGCGTGGTATAAGGTCAGAATTAAAAATATAATTGTGGGTATGTCTTGTTTAACCAATTTAAAGTCAGATCTATGCTAAAAGATCTTTGCTACTCTAGGCACATTCTGTCGCCCGAGACAGTTGCTATAAATAAACACTTGTCAACTGTTATTTCCAGTATTTTAAGCTAGAAATCGCCTACTACTGCTTTGGAACAAGATTAAACTTACATTTTCCAATGCCATTTTGAATTCTTCTAGACTCTACACGAGGTGAAATATTGATTAAACCTGCGTTAATTTTTTCATGATTTTTTTTTGTAAACAAAAATGGCCATGTCAATATCCAACAAAGCCTTTTGTTCAGTTTTTCTTTGATTAGGACTCCGATGACGATTTTGTAGGCTTTACTCGAGTGGATATTAACGGTGAAGTGGCAAGAGATGATAATCACACTAGTGACATGGAGGAAAGTGACAATGACCACTAACAACTACTATTATCCATGCTTGAGTAATTTTATTGAAGCTACTGGCAACCATCGATATATGATAGCCTTTCTGAAGGTGAATTATTTTGTCAATTTATAAATAACAAAATAAAACTTTATTTGTCAACGAGACAGATAAATATGAGTCATGTGAAAGAAAGAGGAAACAAATGCTAGCATCTTGTATGTAAACACAAGGAGACACGTCACTTTGACAAAAGCCCTTTTTAGCAATTTTGCTTCTTATTGCACCTCAGATCTCCGCAAGGAGTAATAAAAGTTAAAGTACATTGAATTATCTATGTATTTTTTAATGTATTTGTTTTTTATTTCGCGTTTCAATTTTTTGTTTTCAATGTGAAAACATGCATACAAAATGTAACACATTACATACTGCATTACATCAAAATATTACTCATTCATTCTTTTATTAGTGTACAAAAATTAAAATCTATATGCACAATACAAAGAAAGTTATAACAATTTTAAAACAGTAGGTGTTCATGTTTTTGCACCCTCAAAAACATGCAGTGGCAGAGGGGAACAATTCTAGATAGAAAATAGTGTGGTAAAGGTTAAAGCCATATATGTAAATGGGCCTATAATTACCAACAAGTTTAGGAAGTTTTAAACTGTCATGTTTGTCATTATTCGCAGTGATAAGTTTGTTAATTTTTAATTTTAGTTGTTTGGTTGGATTTCTGTTAATTTTTTTTTTTTAATTTTGTGTGGTCAGTGAGTATTTGCTCGATTTTTTTTTTTTTTTTTTTTTTTTTGTTGTTGTTGTTGTAGTTCCATTTGTTTAAGACAACAAAGATGTTAGTTTTGTCTGCTTTTTTGACAATTATATCCAGGTGATTAGCGGCAATTTGTAGTTGTTTTGTGAAAATTTTTGAAAAGTTCTTACCTCTGTCGTGTCTATCCTTAACTGCCCCAGCCTTGAGTAAGTCGTGAAATTCTGGTGTGGCTGTGATTAGTTGTTTATCCTGGAGTTTTCTGATGATTTGATATAGCATCTCAATTTCGTTTTTTTTTTTTTTTTTTTAATCAGATAATTATATTTGTAGTATATGTGGCAGCTGGGTCCCAGGTTAAGCAATTCTTTTTGATGCCTAGTAATACATTGTTTTATAGTAAAGGTAATAAAACTGTTGGTATATAATCCAAGTGGATCCTAGTAATATAAAATATTAAAACTGATCCACAAAAAGAGCTCAGTGTATTTATTATTACAGAGCAAATAGTAGTACACAATAAAATCCAAAATTACCTCATAGGTGGGAATAGACCTATTTCAACTGATGAAAGCTTTGTCAATCTCATTCAACCCCGGTATATAGACTGAGTTTGTGTTGGAATTAGAAATTTAACTGTGACAGCTGTTGATAAATTAATACAAATTAATGTTTCAGTCAGAAGAAAGGCACAAGAGAGTGGTCAGGGGAGGGCAGAAGGTATTAGCCTTAGAGGTTTTATAAAATTAAACCAGGATATTAATCTTATAACATTAAATTGGGGTTATATGAAGAATGAAGTATTAATTTGAAACTAAGGGAGAAACAAAAAGGTTTGTTTTTTTATTTTGTTTCTTTATTTATTTTATTTTTTTTTATTTAGAAATTTATTTAAAAATACAAGTTCCTACTTAAAAATACTCTTCCAAAGATAGATTATATTTAAAAACAAAATATATTTAATAAATTAAAAAAATTAAAAATAAGTTATATTTAGATAATGTATATTAAAATTAAGTAAGATTATATCTAAAAAAACACAATAACATGTACAAGATTATAAACTCATAATAACTATATTTTAAGTAATTTCTATGGGATAAACAACAAACCTGGTATTGAACCCTCCTGTAATTGTAGATATAAAGAAAGTTGTCTAGTTCAAGGAAAATGCAAATCTACTAGGGTTATATACTAAGCAACCATTTCCCCCAAAGAAAATATGAAAAATTATAATGTTTACATTAGAATTTCTGTAGGGGAATGGAAACAGAGATTTTATACCCATAGGCACTCTTTTACCAACTCTAAATTAAAAGACCAGACAGCTCTTTCAAAAAAATTTAAAGTTTAAAGTTAAACATGTTTCTAATGTATAATTTATTTTATCTTCTATTTTTATTTTTAAATATTTTTTATTTAATATAACAAATTTTTTTATTAATTATAAATTTTTTAAAATATAATCTTACTTAATTTTAATATAAATTATCTAAATATAATTTATATTTAATAAATTAAAAAATTTCAAATATCTTATTTTTAAATATAACTTTGGAAGAGTATTTTTAGTGGGAACTTGTATTTTTAAACATAACCTTATCTATATAAATTTAAAAAAAAAAAACCTTTTTCGTTCCTCTCTTAGTTTCAAATTAACACTTCATTCTTAATATAACCCCAATTTAATGTCATAAGATTAATATCCATGTTTAATTTTATAAAACCTCTTCTCTAAGGCTAATACCTTCCACCCTCCTCTGACCACTCTCTTGTGCCTTTCTTCTGACTGAAACATTGAAATGGATAAATTCTTTAATTTTTCACTGGCTGTCACAGTTAAATTTCTAATTTTGACACAAACTCAGTCTATATACGGGGGTTGAATAAGACTGACAAAGTTTTCACGAGTTGAAATAGGTCTATTCCGCATATGATTTTGTGTACTATCTCTCTCTCTCTCTCATATATATGTGTGCATTATTTATATATATATATATATATATATATATATATATATATAAATGCTATGCACAGTGCTAGTATTATTTGAGCACAGCTGAAATGTACTAAAGTTATTAACCACCTCAAAAAATAAAAAGTACTTTTGTAAAATGAATGCATTCTCTCTCTCTCTCTCTCTCTCTCTCTCTCTATAGATTTAGCAGAGACCATCACTTTTCCAAGACATTATTGCTTAAAATAATTTGTGCATTTTGATACTGATGAATGTACTATGTTGTCTTTCAGATTCGTGATATGAAGAGTGACAGTAGCTATTTCCATTCCTCATCGAATCTTCCACCCAATCCACCTTCCTCACAAGTCAACACTGATCAGCGCATGCCCAATATCACACATGATAGGAGTCGGCCACCAAAATTATTGCAAAGCTCCCCACAGGGACCTGTTCAGTCAGAGGCACCACTTCTGACAACATCAGAGTTTGATAGTTTCACAGAAACAGAATCAAAAACTGTTACTGCTCCTCCTCCGCCTACATCATACGATGGTTGCAGATCTGATACATCATCTGTGACTTCCCAGCACAGTAGTTCAGAACTCAGTTCCAAAATGAGTGCATCTGCTCAAGCCTCAGCTGCCTCATCTGAAAACAAGTTGATAATGGATGCTCGGTTCACAGTATCACCAGAGGCCAGTCGGCTGTTAACGTCCCCCTCCAGTTGTTCATTCACAACTACGGTTACAACGGTTCAGAGTAGTATTGTTTCTTCCCAACCGCAAACAACTTTTTCAAATAATTATGATAATTATCTTAGTTCTGGTCATGTGACCACAGCTACTGCAACAGGGTTGAATGGGATAAGCACTGCTGTCCTCCCAAATGCTAACCTTGAGCAGAACCAAAGCAAAAGACAGAGGTCAAGGTAAGCAAGTGAAGGAAAAAACATTTTTATCATTACATTTTTTTTCTTTTAAATTGGTGAAGTTGAGGTTAAGATTTATAAAAGATTTGTTTAACTATTAATAATTTCATAACTTTTTTCCTTAAACTTTGTTACTATATAGATTTATTGAGAAATTTTTAATAAAAATGTTTTGTTTTTCTTCACAATCTCACAATTCTTAAGGTTTTGAAATAAATCTGCAGTCATTCTCCATTGTACTTAAGGAATTTTAAAAATTTTGATAATTTTGCTTAATTAGTTTTATTTTATGAAAAAAGACTTTGGTCATGAGTAGTTGCTATTAAAATGTGAGACTCCATTTTTAATTAGTGTTTCTGTTAGATATATTTAATCTGTAGTAGATAAAACTGATCAAAGATTAATAATGAGAGAAAATTGAACTCTGGCAGTACTAGTTACATCTGTTAATATGGTGTTTCTGCATTGATGCTTTCATACTTCAATGTCTAAAATTATGTTAGTCAGCATTAGTGACTAACACTGAACAAAAAATACTGGAGCTTTAACTGAAGTGAATTTTTGAAGTTAGAATTGGATGTAAGAGATACACACACACACAATAGTAATTGTATATGTAACTTGTGAAAAATTGATAGTTGTGATTCATTTTTTGCTTATATTTCTGTAATCTTATTTCTGTTTTTATTGAAATTATTGAAACTCTTGGACCATCATTCTATGGTGGTTTTTATGCAGCATGGATCAGAAATAAAGAATAAACCTCTGGTGAGATTCAAACTTAGATCACTTTTACCTTGAGAAGCCTGCTTTGTCTGGAGTGCCTGTATTGATGATAATTACAAAGGCAACCAATTACAGAAACTCAAACCTAGATGTACCATTTTCATTCTTTTTCACCAACTACTCAATTCACCATCATTATTAATTACATACAATTGTAGTAGTATCAGTAGTAATATTATCTTGAATTTATTATTAGCTGAAACTAATTATTAATTTTTGATTAGTTTCTTTTATTTTAATTTCAGTAGATTTTTATTATAATACTGTCATTCTAGATTTATTAGAATTGAATTTGGGAATCATTGACAATACTTTATATTATAAAATACTCAAGATAATATTCACTAAAAAAGAAATGCTGTTACTGTTAAGAGAGATGTCTCTTGAGACAAACTCTAAATTAAATTGGGCTGATTGACTGATTAGGACCAGAATTTACATTTAATTATCGTTTCTGGCACCAAATAGTTATAATGCCATTTAGTCATAGTTTCAATAGCTAATTCTGCCATTGCTTAACGATTGTAAGTCTGATGTCATTAAATACTTCCAAAGCAATTACTGTTTGGAGGTGTTGATTAATGAAACCAATAAGGTGTTTCCTGGGAGAATATAATATTGTTTACTAAGCGTGTTATCATTTTGTAGGCTGTAAGATACCATAATCTAATGTACTTTCTTGACTGTGTTTGATGTTTGAAATATTATTAAAGGTGTTGACTGATGCAAAATTCTGTTGTCTGTAAAACAAAACTGCATTTAATTATCCTATTGAATTAAAAAATGGTATTGTAAAAAATATTTGCTCCCAGAATTAGAAATTCTGACTTAAAAACTAATTTTAATGTATTTTAATGTGTTGTATTATATTTGGCTTCTGTTGAAAAGTTGGGCAACAATTATTACAACTGCTACTGAATTCCTTTTATACCCTAAATATTACATATTGTAACATTTATAAAAATGGTAGAATTAAACTAAAATTTGTGTCCTACAAATTATTTGTAAATTATGTATCATGTTCATTCTGAAATGTCCTTATTGATCATATATGTCCTACAAAAAAGTATATGAGTGAGAAATTAGCCATTCAGTAACTGTTCAGTGTATTACTAACAAATTAAACATATTCAGCATATTAAAAATAATAATAATAATAATAATAATAGAAAGTACAACATTTTCTTCTGTGTGCTGTGTACCTTCAAGACGTGACCAATCATGGCTTGCCACACTTTCCAGTCCTTTGAAGCTCTTAATAAAGTTTTTCTTTTTGCTGTCTCTCCTAATACCTGTTCTGTCAAATGTTTACACAAGCTTATGTAGGCTATGTGCTGCTTTATTCCATCCCTCTTGCCTTCAATACAAGGATCAGCTGAAAGGTTCATACATTGACCAAGATATAAATGTAAGCAGCCACACCAACTGGTACACTAAAAGACCTGCAAATGTATCAACTGGTGTTTCTACTTACTTATCTTGGTCAGCTTATGAATTTTTCAACTGCTCTTTGTATGTCCTTTGAGTATCAAATTTTCTAAGCTCTCTTTCCTCATTATGTACCCTAGAATTTTCTGCTGTCTCTTTCTGATGTTAAGTATGTGTCCTTTTTGTTTCCATTTTCTCTAAAACTTTGTCATACTCACATGTTCAGTTCTCTTGGTATTCTCACCATCATTCTGTAGAACCACATTCTTGTTGTTCTTCATCTATTCATCCAGCATTCACTGCCATATTGGAGGACTTTTATTACATAACAGTCCAGTACTCTTTTCTTTGTTTCTATTGAAATTTTCCTGTTTCTTAATACTTTGCCTCACTTTTGAAAAGTTACTTTTATGGCCCCGAAAGTGCCTTTGGATTTTGGTGTTGCATTTTCCATCCACTGCTAAAGTGCTTTCTATATATTTTTGTTCATGCTTGGTTTTGGTATCACCAATTTGTAACTTGCATGTTGGGCTGTTCCTTTTGCTGACAACTATCCATTCTGTCTTCTTACAATTGATGCTTAATCCTTTCTTCTCACTTTCTTTTACTTCTTCTGTAGAAGTTCATGTAATTTCCTTTGTGTCTGCTATCAACACTGTAGCATCTGTGTATTTAATGTTGTTAAGATTGTGACCATTGGTAATGAATCCTGATAGGACCTCTAATTTTCTCAGGATTGCTTCACTATAAAAGTTGAATAGGTCTGGTGAGAAGACACATCCTTGTCTTCTACTCCTTTCTATTTTTATATATTTACTGAATTCATTTTCTATCTGTATGCAAGCAGTTTAGTCCCAGTACAAGTTCCGGATTATTCTAATATCCTTCCCAAATATTTAAAGCTTACCTATCAAATTGACTGAAAGAAATTATACTACCCAAAATATAACATTAAAAAGAGATCTATAAGCACCATGGACACAATAGAGCATAAGCCTGTGTGACCTGGTTTCACCAATATCATTTGGCAATAAAAATCCTTAAAATTCTCATAGATTCACATTCACAACTCCATGTAAAAATATAAAATTACAATATTGCCATGTAATACCTAAAATCATTTATATAATTTTCAAATACTTAAACTTTATAGTCGTCTGCTGTAGATTGGTGGTTAGCACACTGGTCTGACTGTCTATGAGTATAGTTAGCTTGATTCTCACCAGGTTCCTTATGAACTGCAGTCTTGATCACTTGAGATATGAGAGGACCTGTGATAAAAGTATTTTCTTCTGTGAACTGGTGACTGAAAAAGTAAAACAAAATTAGTGATATTCACTGGACCCGTGAAAATTCCCATGGGTGTTGATAACTAAGGTTATTCATTATCTCCTGCACTTGCTCTTTTCTCATATTTTCTTGTATCTTATTCTCTTTTATCCCTTATTTGTTTCCTTCCTTTTTTTATCTATAAATGTTATGTGCACGTGGACAGTTCCATATGTGAAAAAAGAATAAAACATGCACAGATATTTTCTATTGTACCTTTGTTTATCTTTCTTTTGCTTTCTCTCTGAATAATTTTAATGTATCACAATTCTTGTACTTTTCTCTTCTTCTATCTGCCTTTCACTTGTTGCTTGATATCCAACCAGCAAGCCACACTGTTCTTTCATTTCTTTCCATTATCCTTACTATGTATGTATGTATTTTAAACTACTTGGCCATATCCAATCTAAATACCATTGGTATGAACACCACACACATTTTTATATATGTTAGGAAAGAGTGGATCAGTTAATTTGTTTAAAAGACTCAAAAGCTCAGAGGCTGGGCTGTAAATCACCTTATGTTATGCTAAAACTTGGTGGAGCCATTAAAAAGTGCTTGAAATAACCCTTGAACATGAACTTATTGTCTATGTATCATATCATATGTCAAGGTGAGTGTTTTTTCCCTTTCCAATTTCCCAATATTGGGCCCCAGAGCAGGTGGGGAGTACTGACAGTGATTGTTATTGTAGGGAAAATATGGCATATAATAAAACCAGGAAAGTAACTACTTGCTGACATTGAATGATTCATATAGAGAAAATGAACAAGTCTTTCTTGAATTCTCAAGTTTTATGGTGTTAGAATCATTGGGAAATACTTCTCTCACAACTATCACCACTCCTTAAAGAAAAAGTTAAATATTCCAGTCCCAAAGATGGTTAAAAAAAAATTGAAAAATGGAAATCTCTTGGTTTAAGTGGAAAAAAAGAAGCCAACAGATATTTAAAATATAAAAGCAAAAACATCCCACCAAACACAATGAAAGGTATAGTGAGAAGCCCCAAACTATCCCTTTGCACACTGAAAGAAATGAAAATGGATCTCAAATATCGAGGTTTAATAAGCAAAGAACACCTCTAAAATACCAAAAGAAATTAAAATGGGTTAAATCATAAAGAAAATGAACCAATACATATTCTCTTCTCTAAGATGTATGGGGCAACCAACATATGCAGACGGAAAGACCATGACTACTATAATGGAGAATGCAATGGAGCAATTGAATGCATCGTCATGGAAATAACCAAACACCTGGATTGGAGAAGATACCAACCAGTCCCCAAAATAATGAAAATAGCAGAAACTCAAACCAGAAATACATCATAGTTGAATATTGTGCAAAAGTCATCAGCTGCAACCAGTTGGATAAATACTAAGCATTCATTGAGAAGCTAGGGAAACTGGGACCAGATGACAAGCCAATATTTATAAAATAAATCAAAGTAAAATTAGAAAAAAAGAAAATAATGTCCACTTTTAATTGCTGCAAAACAGAAAAAACACTAACCATAATATTGAAAAACAATAAAATGAACAGAACATATCACCAATTCCTTCTCAACTAAGAACTCCTTCACTGTATGCAAAACACAGTTCACAAAGACCTACAATCCAACTAAAAGTAAAGGTAAAAAGACAGCACTCCAAAGAGTAAAGAACCTTCTAACCATAGCAAACTGTTTCAATATACTTAAAAAAAAATTTTTTTTAAATGTAATCAGAAGACAATTCTCCACTTTAAAAACTCAACCAACTCAAAAACTCCAAATAAAAATACCCTATACACATTATGACCTATAAAATCATCCAATGGAAAATCTTGTTGAAAGAACTCATTTCCCTCTTAAATTATTCTTAATAAGTTTAAATCACTTGGTCATACAATAAAATCTGGTTATTTCTCACAATTGCTTTGTTGGCTAATAACTGTTAAAGGAATATTTATCATGATATTGGCAAAAAAGAAATGTTTTGAAGATGTTATTTCCAACTGTTGAAGTTAATTAAATTTTATGAATGTTGTTTGTATTTTTTATATTTAAAATAATTTTTTTTTTTAATTATATAAAAAAACTTAAAATATGGAAATCTATATGATGATTAATATAGAAAGGCTAACATTAAAACTATTAATTTAGTGTGTTTTTGTTCTATAAGATTTATATATTTAGTACGGGATTAAAAAAATATTTAAGACTGACTTCAACATTAAATGACCCAACTAGGATTGATATGTCATAAAATCAACCAACTTCGTCCTCCTCCTTCCTTTATTTCCCAAATTCTTCACATTTAATATTATGTAAGTTTCCCCAGTTAGAAATCTTAACTTACTTTTGTTCAAGTAAGCCATAATCCGACAGAGAAATTAGACTTGAATATATATAGAAAAACATAATGGTCATACTTACAAACAGGATAATGATATAACTTAACTAGCTATAGTTGTTAAGTATATTATTTTCTATCTTCATTGACAAATCTTTTCTGTTTTTGTTTGTGAGTGGAGTATCACACAGATTATAGTATCATTAAAATTCTATATACTATAAATTTGAATGTGTACAGTCAAGTTTTCAAGCTAATCTCTCATAGACATTATTAGAAACAATTGTTGTGACAAATTTAAACATTGCTATGAAAGGAACTACGTATAAAAGATTATTTCTGTCTGATGTTATGAAAAGTGTTGATAGAGATTATTTTGTTTGCATTATTATTACAAGACAAATAAGATGAAACCAAGTACATACTATTAGCATATGACCCAAAAGCTTTTTGCTTTTTTATATAACATTTAAAAGAGGAAATAAAATATGGTAAAAAACCTGGAAAGGATTTTCTTTTCTCTGCAGATCAAGTGAAAAACAGGAAAAGAAAAACAAAAAAGGCAAATGTTCAACTTCCTCAACAAATAGCAAAGGAAAAAGTGGGAAGGATTCTGTTGTAACAACATCACCATCATCTTCATCTGATACTTCTCCTTCTGAAAGCAAAAAAACAACCCCAACCCAGAGGAAATCTGAGGTTCCCCTTTCTGGAGGACCTTTAGGGTAAGTTTTCTGTTTTGAAAAATTCATTTTTGTCTTTTTTTTTTTTTTTTTTTTTTTTTTTTTTTTTTTCATGTATTGAATCTTGGGTCCACGAACTGTGTCAAAGATTCATCATTACAACCATTAAGCTTTACAGTTATGAAAAAAATTATATTTTTTAAGCTATCTTCAGTTTAATAAGTTCAATATTTATTTCTGCAAAAAATTATCTGGATAAATTATAGTTGAAACTTAAGGGAATATTGATTTTTAGTGCTTACAAGTATGTCATATTTTACTTGTTTGCCACTTGATGTTAACGTAACATGCACAGGTGTCACTTTATTTAAACCCCCTTTTTTTTTCTCACTTTTTTTGGTGGGGGGACCTGAAATTTACAGTATGCTTTTATAGTAAAGATTAATTACAACTTTTACTTGAACTATTTTTAACTTTTGACTATATCTTTTTGTTAAAACTGTATATAAATTACATATAAAATAGCTTGAAGTACGCTATATTGTTGAAGTTTGATCTTAAAAAATATGTTATCAGAAAAGTGAGCAAAGACTCCCAATTTCATAACTTAAGAATGAGCTTTCTTTGTTACCTTGCTAGAACTTCTTCACTGATTTCTAAAAAATAATGCTATCAATTATAAATTGAATATAAAAATATTCTAAAATCTTTAATGACCTAGACACAGGTATCTATCCTCTAAATGATTTATTGTATATGTTAGTATTTTATTCCTTTTCTGATTAAAGTTCTTTATGCACAAAAGTAATGAATCATCAGTCTTATTAATTCCAAATTAGTACATTTAGCTACTGAGCCAATATTTTTTCTCTGTATGTTACATAAAGACTTGTGGAATAATGGAAATTTGCAGAAAAACAATGTGAATGTCTCAGAAAGAACATTTTATTTATTGTCTTTATAATAAATCATTTTTCTGACTTTTAATAACTTTTGTAGGATTTGATGTCCTGCAAAAATTTATTTGATTTTAGACTCATTCAGACTGATCCTGTTTAAATCTTTAAATGTTCAAAAACTCTTAGTAATAGTTAATTGTAATTTGTAATTTGTTTTTGAAAAAAAAATGCTTTGTTAGCAAAACATAAAATTACTTTTGAAGATTGAATGCAAGTTACATGTTGATGTTAATGTGCGTTAGATTTAACTGTTTTAATATCGTTACTTCAGACTAAGATATTTTGAGGATATATTTAATTGACATAAACCTGTTTATTCCTCAGTTATATAAGAAGTACAAGTTATTTCACAAGTAACCAAATAAATCAAGTTTAGATCTATTTACTTTAATAATTTCTGATTATGGATTAAAATTAATGCCACTAAATTATCAAAAATTTATCTGATTATTCATGCAAACAAAATGTGTGTCGGTTGAAATGTATGATCTCTTCTATTGGAATTTCTGATAAGCGTATCATTGAACATTATTAAGATTAATATCCTCATTTGAATTATGGTCACAGCATTTTGATTGTTGTAACTATCCAGCCTCTTGTTGCATTTAGTAACCTTGTGAAATTCAAACTAAATTCTTTATTCATTTATCTGAGTTGGATAGTTCTCTGCGATGGAATAATTAATATTAGGTAATTCTTCCTATTGAAGTCACTTTTTGCTTTTTCTATTGAACGAATTGCTACTACTAAGTAATAGGATACATCTAACCAATATTTTTATCTAGTAGGTGAAGATGAGGTTATTAGTGAAAATAAATTAATGGACTTAATAAAAAATATTTGCTTACAAAAGGACTTGTATTATCTTTCAATTAATACATTTTTCTAGTGTTCCCTTTTCATGTTGATTCCATTGAAGATGGAATGTTTTGTAACATGGAGCATTCTAATATTACTCAGAGAAGTTTGATAGGAAATTGCTTAGGTGTATTCGCGTAGGAAAGTTATTTACCACACACACAATGTCTCACTTTTTCTCTCTTAAACTTTAAATGGAATGACATGTTTTGCTAATTTGGATAATTTTATATTGTAGAAATCCTAATTATAATGTTTTTGGTGGCAGTCCATATTTCCAGAGTTTAAGTGCATCAGGACCTGTCTCTATTTCTGGTTTCAGCCAGACAAGTAAGATATTCAAAAATATTTTCAAATATTCTCTTATAACTTTATCAAGTCATAAAATAATGACAAATTATTACATTTCAGTGCATATGCATCTGTTAATATGTTGAGTGAACTAAAGTAACACCTCAAATAACATTTATTAGTAGGTACCTCCATGAAATCACTAAAAAAAAGAGCATAGCTTGATGAAAAAGATGCCAACCTTGCTGAAAACAAAATTTTATCGTCTAAATGCTTATGTTATTATTAAGAGGAAAGATCAAAGTATTTTTGGAGTATTTTTTAATCGTTCCTAGCGCGTCCAAAATTTTCATTAAATATCTTGTTTTTTTTTTTTTTTGAGTCAGCAAAATTGACCATTTTTTTCCATTTTATAAAAAAACTGGAAATCTCACTTTGAAATTCTTTTAAATATCAATTATCATTATGGAGGTACCTATTTATTAGCCATATTTTGGGCTTCATTTAATCTGCTTTACCTAAACAGTCAAAACCATGATTAACTTTGTGACAGATGCTTTTCTGTTGACGGAACACACACAAGGAGGGACGAAACAAACAGCAGCACCAGAGACCAGCAAAACAAAACTAGAGACACATCCATGGCAGGAATGAAGGTCAAATGTAGTCGGGACACAGAAAGCGAAGACAAACAAACAAGAAATCAGAATCATGACGTTCCATATGCTCATAATGCTGGCAACTCACTATTCATGGCACGAATGATTTGCATAAACAAATTCTAGGCACTGCTCAGCCCACTGCCATGACCATATTTTTTGCAAGTGGACATTCAAGGTTTGTTCTGGTCATCCTTTCCTGCATATATGCAGCATACTTTTTGATCGATGGAGACAGGCAGCCTCATTGAAGGTAGCCAGTAGTTCATCCAGTCTTTCACTTCTGCCACACTCTCTCCTGATCACATGATCCTATATGTGGCAAACCAAGACTGGTCTCTTGCACCTTGTGCTCCTTTGTGGTAACACAACTATGACTTCCTGCCTGGATGACTTGCAGGAGTGTCATCTGATATATCTTTATCAAGCCTGGGGCTGCTTGCTTCAGTGGGATCACCACGTGCATTGCTGATGGTGATCATTCTTGTACTCTGGGAAGATTCACTGTCACTCCCACTCTCAGAAGCACTTGAATCTATATGAATATTGAATCTATAATGGGATACAGGTCCCTTACGTGGCAAGGCATCCTGTCAACAAGGATGTTCTGCTGGCTAATCATGTCTGCAATGCATTCATGTTCATAAGGGGATGTGCACCGTCCATATACAATCTCCCACTTTGTAACCAATGTGCTGTTGTTTGAACTCAACTGGAGGCAGTGTATCAGTCCCTTTCAGTTGGACTTGGTAATGATGAATCATGTTAGCAGCAATACATTGACCTCTGGGGTGATGTTATACCAATAAACTGCTTTCATTACAGAACAGAGTTTTCTTGCCGTAATCTTCTTTACACTCTGATGACACCGTTCCATGATTCCATTACCAGAAGGGATGTGCACACAGTAGAACCACAGTTGAACTTCCCATTCATTCAGAAACTCCCCAAAGGTCTTGCTGCAAAATACTGTGTTATTGTCTGCAAGCATTTCAGTTGGTGGACTATGTTCATAGAATAGGACTTCCAATTGGTCATTGATGCTTGCTGTTTCAGGTGACCCCAGACAGAAACCATGTAGGCCTGCAGTCAATGAGCAACAGGTAGTGCCTGCCCTGGTTATGTCCATTCCCACTCCAATTTGCCCTTTGATCAACACTTGGGTGGCAGGTCAGTTGATTGGCACTCCTTGCACTTTCCCACTACAGTCCTTACTAATGCCTTCAAATCTGTGGGATTGGCCTGCCTGACAAAGTACAATGTCTGCCTTATGCCAGGATGACCACTTCAATGATGGATGGACCTTATCTGGCTGGAGTCAGACTTGCTGGTTGATACAGCACACACATGGTTTGGGGGTTCACCTGTTTCCCTGATCAAATCAAGCCATCACTGTGGTACGCTTGTCAGACCATCCGCTTCGTTATGTTCTGACCTCACCAAGGTATGTCACCTGATTTTGCTTATCACTTTGATGAGCATTCTGGCCTTTCCCATAAATGTGTCTCTAATCCATTTGTGTGCACAAGCAGAGTCTGAAGAGGTGCAATATTGTTGCATCCCACATTAACACCTTTCAGTATGGAGTCTATTTCTGCTAAATTTATGTGCTGTACATCTTTCTCTTTCTGCATCCTCTACAGCAGCTCCATTGTGCTCCAGTGAAACTCTAGGGAGCTTGCATCAACACAAATGTTGAACTTGGGACCATTAACACACCACTTGCCACCCATGGGTCTTAGTGCACTCTTGCAATGACCTCTTTTATTGTGGTTAAAGGAATATCGTCCAACTTGTCGCCCCAACCCTTTGTAACTGCCACTGCTCTCTTAATAAATGCTGCCTCCTCTGCTGGGAAGTGTCCAACCAGCTTTCCACACAGTGCAAACACCATGTTGGGTTAGAATGTGCAGTATATTTGGGACCTTGTTTCCATTTCAGCATGCTGCACTCTGCCCAAATTTTCAACCAAATACTCATTCACCTCCAGTCATTTTGATTCCTTGCTCACCAGACCAAAGTTGAAAGGATATTGCCGTACAGTGGCTGCAGACGCTATATTTTCATTGATGAAAACATCAATGTACATTGATGTTCCCTGTCGGATGGTGTCAACTTTTGACAATGCAGTTTCCACAATGGCTTGCATAATAGATAGCGCTGTATTGAGTCCAAAAGATTGGTGCACATGCACCTGTAGGTAAGCTCTTTGAAGATCAAGCACTGGCATGTTGGAGCCCTTTTTTCGTCTCTCTCTCAGATTTTGTGCACAGACGTTGACACAGGCTGTTTAGGCACCAACGTGCCCATTAAGTTCACAGGAGTCTAATACAAGGCATACCTTACATTTATTTTGTTGAGAGACTGCCATCAATGGAATCGGGCTGAGGGTGTGGGTCAAGTTTCTCCAGGATTTGGAAGCAGCCATCCATTATCCAGCCACATCTGCAGCTCACACTGGTATTATTGTCAGATTTGAATGGACACTGGGTATTCAGGCACTCTGTCAGTTCATTAGGTGGATGATTACCTGACCACTTTCACAATGCTGTCCACACCCTGGTCCATTCATCAAACTTGGTGCTGAAATCCTGTTCCTCTATCCTAATCACATCACAGGTACATGGGTCCATTCTAGAGAAGAAGGCTTCACCAGACTGGTTGATGCTGACTCTACCCAGCATTTTGATAATATCCATCCCAATTAGCATATAAAAGCCTAACAGTAGACTGTCCACGACTAGGACATCAGCTTTTACGGGGTTTGCGTTATCTATTGCCAGTTCCAACGCCATGACTGTGGAGAATTTCACCATCAGCTGTCATGATGTCCAACTTCTGTTGACTTCAATTACAGGAATCACCTCTTTTTAATTGACTGGGGAGAGTCTGGTGCCAACGTCTTGCCCCCTTTCTCCATTTCCCAGATATTCAGATACAAGGTGACTGATCTTTTAGCATCTGTAGCAGCATATCTTTCCTTGTGCTTTTGCATATGGGGGGATACCACACCTCTCTCTCCATGCTGATACTAGCAGTCTTTTGCAAAATGGTTCAATCCAGAACATTTATAACACATAATGCTCTGACATACTGGGTGAGGTATGGTCAGTACTGGACTGAGCCAGTGGTACAGCTGCTGTGATCGATTCTTTCCTGTCTGACATAATGACCCATGCCCTGGTCAGAATTTACCCCAAGGTCATGTCATTCAGCCTTGATGATGCCCAGAGATACTGCCTCACATGACTCAGCAGTTCAGCAATAAAGGTGCATGTCATTCATTTCTCTTGTAGTGCATCCCCAATAAGCAGGGCAAGCCTCCAAAGTTCAACCAAGAACACATCCATGGTTTCACCTGGCAACAGTCATCATGTTGTGAAGCTGTCAAATGCCACAAGAATCAGTTGTGAAAGCAGTTACCAAAACACACTTGACATAGTCTATTTCAGCCCTTTGTTCCTTGTTGAGCTGCCCTTATACTGCAAGCACTCCACTTATTAATTGCAGAGGGAGGACATGCTCCACTTCCTGAACGTCACACAGCTCACAAATGAGCTCCACATTCTCTAGCCATTCCACTATTGGTAAATTGGTAGCCACTCCTCTGAACTTAGGAATTAGCTGAATGGCAAACTGCTTGCTTGGCATCTCTAAGGCCAAAATAGCTTGAAAATTGCTTTTCTCTTGCCGGTACACAAATGAGGGACAGAACGAACAGCAGCACTGGAGACCAGCAAAACAAAACCAGGGACATGTTCAAGGCAGAGGCAACGAAGAATTCCACACAGGAACAGAGCAAACAAAGTGCAAACGTAGCCAAGACACAGAAAGTGAGGACAAACAAATGTGAAACGGAATCACGGCATTCCATATGCTTGTAATGCTGGCAACTCACTGTTTCAAAACAAAAAATCCGTATGTTTATATTGAGCCCAGAAATATCAGTAATGGTCACTATGCATGATCGCCGCTTCCATCCATATTTTTTGCAAGCGAATGTTCTCAGGTTCATGCTGGCCATCCTCTCCTAAATATACAGAACACCAAACATCTTTTTGATCGACAGGGACAGGCAGCCTCATTGAAGGTAGCCACCAGTTTATCCCGCCTTTCACTTCCACTACACTTCATAGAAAATCATTTAATTAAATTTCTTTTTAGCTTACTATTACTGTTTGGTTTTGTAACTAAGGCATTTAAAATATGTTGAGATAAAAGAATTTCATAATTTTAATGTACACATAACAAATATTTCTGTTTTCTGGATTGAGAATGCATCAATAAATGGTTTAAGACTCCTAAACTTTCATGCTTTGCAATATAATAATTTTTGAAATGTTAAAGAAACAGTTAAATTGATTCAGTAGATTTTTCAGCTTATTTAAATCAAAGAAAAGTACATCTTGTAAATTTTGAACCATTATTTTGCTTAAATATTCCAACTACACTCTTATGATTTATTACTATCTGTGACATTCTCTTGATATTTCAGATCTAGAAAATAATGGAACATTCACAACATCAGTGATGCCAGGAGCAAATTTACCTGCCAATCTGGAACAAGGAACTTCTCCCAATCTGACACGTGAGTATTAAGTTTTTCTTGATTTTAAGAAGTTCTTAGCAAAGGTATTCAGTTTGTTAATTGAACTCTGAATGTTTGAAATCAGACTCAATCTTCTGGAGATCTCATTAGGAAAGAACAAATAAAAAAGCATAAAATTACAGCTTTCTAATTTAATTCTGTTTAATATTCTGATAAAAGAGCATACAGAATACCAAGTGAAATATAATTTAGAAATGAATAGAGGAATTTATAAATTTATCATTTCTCTTTAAAAATGTAAGCTTTTTTACAGCACAAGTGCACTGTTTTAATAAATCATTAAATTAGCAAGTAATATTAATGAAAATTGACTCAAAATTGTTTAATGGTATTTATATATATCTGTTTGTTTAGCTAAATTGATATATTAGTTAATGGATTTGTTGCTGTGGTTATCTTTTTTCTTATGTTCTTGATGTCCATGAATAATAAATCTAATGAATATCACTTTGCTGAATTACCTCCAAAATTTGGATAAAAAGCAGGATTAAAAGCAATGATGACAAGCACATATTTTTCTAAGAAACCTGAATCCTTTTGTTCACATTTATAAATATATTTGATGAAAGGTTTTCCCCCATAAATTCTAAAATAACTTGGTTAACAATAACATGGCATTTTTAGTTCAATAACAGAATTCATTTTTTTCTGTAAAAATATTTTCTTTTAAAAAGCAAGAACAAAGTCACTAAAAACATTGAAGATTTTTAAGATATTGAAAAACAATGTAATTGGAAAATGACTTATGAAATCATCTAGTGAAAAAGTTACAAAATATAATATTAATGGAAAATTCTTATTGCTAATGATTTTATAATAAACATTTTTTTTCTTTGATTCATCAAAGCTCTTGCTTTTTTAGCTATAAACTCACAGGATGATTTTTCTTTATTAACAAGGGAAATTGTTGTTAAGGATTCAGATTCTTGAATAAAAATTTTATAACTTTATCAGAAAATGTTACTTTTTCATTTTCAGTATTTTGATAATTTTCATCTTTAAAATGTTATTTGTATGAAGTTAGTATTGAATTTATAATCGTGTTTCATAATTAAACTTCATATATATTTTAGATGCTATTTAACCTAATTATATTGACTTGAACTTTTGTCATATGCTTTTTAAATGTATCTAGTATTTGATTTTAAGTTATCACGGATGCTGAGCTTGCTTTCTACCTATAATTATCTTAGTTTGTAATTTATCCAATTGTAATTAAATATTTAAATTTAATTAAGTATTTAATTACTCCTGAAAGCCATTTTATTACATAAACTCTTGCCTTCAAAAATCATGTAAACAAGAATAGAATTACATTCATTCCTTTGTGATATTGCAGCTCCAACTTTAGCAAATGAAGGTGCAGCTCCAGCTGGTGTTGGGTGTTTTTTAGGCCCTCCAAAGATATTTCCTTCAATTCAGAATGCAAAGATGCCAGATGAAAATATGGGGTAATTCTCTCATTCTCACCTTTCTACTTGCAAAATATTGTAATTCATTTTAATTGCTATCATTCTGTATTGTCTAAAAATTCATAAAATGGTTTTGTAAAAAAGAAAATTACATGGATTCACACACAAAGAAGAAAACATTTAAATGCACATACTTATTGGTATCCATATTGAAGAATAAAGTTTAAACCTGGTCATTTGTCTGTGAAAATCTTTAATTTTTGTGAACGATTTACAGTTTTAATAAATGACACTTCCTTTTTCAATAACTAACATTCAAATAACTTTCCAATAGTCTATACTCACCATTTATCTAATGTAACATTCGTTGAATCTATTTTCATATAAATAAAAAAATATATATTTCTTTTAGAAATGGATTAGCTCAAACCATGGAACAGTTGCTAGAGCACCAATGGGACTTAGGGTCACAATTCCTGATGGAACAAGGTCAACATTTTGATAGTAAGTTTTTATTCCAGTTTTTGGTAATATAAAACATTTAATTAAAATTTTGTTCAGATTATCTGATAAGTCTTGTTGGAACTGAGTGTTCTGATAAAACTCATCAGCCTAAAAACCTGCTAATTTGGGCAATAATTAGCAAATGGCAAATTGTATTAAAAATTGAAATCTCATTGGCATTTATTTCATTTCCAAATTCATGCTGCTTAACAGTTGGCAAATGTATTGAAAAAACAAATTTTTGTTCCTAATCAACTCATGTGTATGTTAATCATACCTTTGTAATATAAAATATATGCTGCCTATTTTATTATATATATATATATATATATATATATATATATATATATATATATAATGTATTTGTGTATTTAGGCAGCAAATTCTCTTTTAGGCATGTATGATCGAATAAATTACAAACATTATGCCTGATTATTTTTATCATAATCCTTTCATATTGACAAATATTTTTTTGTGTATTACAATTGAATGAGGCAAGAAATGCACTATAACAGTGAAAATCACTTTTATTTCCCAAGTACTTTACATCTCTTTCTGAAATCATCATTAGGGGTGCAACTGGGAAGGCAAAAACTATATGTAGCTATCCATTACTGATTTTTTTTTCTTTTGCGTTTGAATGCAGTGGTTTTAGCTTCATTAGAATGTGGCAAGTTATCAATTATGGAATTTTTTCTTTTATGCTGGAATGCTATGGTCGAGTGTGCATTAAAGTGTGAAAACTGTTATTTTTATAGGCACTTTAGATCATTATTACAATATTTGTAGCTGATTCTATTCATTGTTGGCTTCAGTTTTTTAATGTAGATTGCTTCAAGGATCTGTAGTTTTAATTTATTTTCTTGGTGTAGAATATATATGATTGGGAAAATGAAGTGAGACACTAATTGGAATTAGTGTGATTTTAAAAATAAATACTTCAGTCTTATTAGTTCTATCATTGGATTAGTTGTTCAGAAGTTACAATAGTAAAAATGATTGATGTGAATGTCACAGCATATTCCAACATAATACATTACTAGCTTTCTCACTATCTCACCTTTTTTCTGTTTATTGTCTTGTTATATACATTGAATGTATAAAAGAACTCATTGCACTATGGAAAGATCAAGCAACAATTTTAAATTATTACATGAAGAGTGTTATGGAGGGATGATGCACTACAGTTGTTATGATAGGTAACTATTGCAAAAGAATGATCCCAGCCTTTGTCAGCCAAGATGAAATTTGTTCTATTAAATTGCCATGCACAATATATACAGGGGTCTGCATTTTCCTGACAGCTAAAAAAGGAGAAATGAATTGTTGGTAGTTCTGAGATTGTCATGTATATAGATAAGAAGAATTCAAATTTTTTAATTCAATTGTTATAAATATTCTTTTCATCATTATAATCATAAGAGTTTTAAGTGAATTTCTTGAATGAAAATTGAGTTTCTGTCATAATTTTATTGTTTTTATCATAGAGTTTATTCTATGAATACTGAGTAAGCAGTATACTTTTGGAAATAGTCTTCCATGAGATTTGAATTTGCATCTTATATTCTTAGGAGCCTATCTGATGTAGACAACACCTTATCAGATGTATCCGTACAATTTGAATTTTACTTTCTAACTTACTAACCAGAATAGGAATGTGTCATCTATGTCAGAGTATGCAGAATCAAATGTCATTGGCATTTACTTCATTTCCCAATTCATGCTGCTTACTTGTTGTAGAATGTAAAGGAAAAAAACAACAAAAATAAGATTAAAAAAAATGTTAGTTATAATGTTGTCTCACTCTCTCTCTCTTTTCTTTTTTCTTCATTCGCTTTCTCTGGGCCTGACACAGATATAATTACTGGTTGTAGTCTCCCTTATACTTTTAATGCTAGGATAATCCAATCAATTTCTTGAGATAAGTATCATCATATAGTTCATCTATCAGATAATAACTTGTTAAAGTAAAATGATAAAAATAATTTTTTTGGATAGATAAGAACCAGTTAAACTTATTAATATACTTTTAAAAATTTTGTTTTTTAGTTGCCTCCCTTCTAAGTTTCCTGCATAAACTAAAGACAGAGAACCAGCAGTTGGAAGACTACATCAAGACCTTGACTGCTCGTCGAGATCACCTGCTGGCTCTAAATGCCCGTCTGGCTCTGCCACTGTCTGCACTCAGCAGTTCACAGTTGATGGGTAAAAGTATTGAATCTCCATGTGGTCTTTCACAACATTGTCAAAGTCAGAGCTGTATGGAGTCAACATTAGCCCAAGTAAGTTTACTGTTTATTTTCATGCATGATATTTTTGTAACTTAGTAGGATTAATGTTGACTGGAAAACATTGATTACTTCTTTCTTTTTTTTTTTTTTTCTTTCTTTCTTTTTTCTTTTTCTTTTTTTCTTTCTTTTTCTTTCTTTTTTTTTTTTTTTTCTTTTTTTTTTTTTTTTTTTTTTCTTTTTTTTTCTTTTTTTTTTCTTTCTTTTTTTTTCTTTCTTTTTTCTTTCTTTTTTTTTTTTCTTTCTTTTTTTTTTTTTTCTTTTTTTTCTTTTTTTTTTTTTTCTTTCTTTCTTTTTTTTTTTTTTTTCTCTCAGAATGTGTGATTTCTTTTTAAAGTCTCATCATCTTAAGCCAATAACCAATATAATCTTAAACTTCTACCTTTTCAGTCATACATATTGCTTTTTCTTTTTTCTATATTCTCTCAAAGACTAAATTCTTGTTATTTATTCTAAGCATATGATAACCAACGGACATTTTACTAATCACTCTGTCCACTTTTCAAGAGGTATCAAAAAAATATATATTTAGAAGCAACAATGCATTGGAAGCTGCAATATATAAAATAGACTGCCTGCAATGTCATAAGAAATATCTAGGCAAGACATTTAGAGATCTAAAGGCATGCATTTATAAACACAGAAGATAAACCATTAAATTACTTAGCATCAAACATAAATGAAGCTTGCCATCATTTTAAAAATGCTACCTTTGTGAAATAAAATGAACACAACCTATTAAGAAGAAAATTTGTAGAAAGACTATTAATAGATAATCAACTTACAATAAATACTCACTGGACACATTTCTTTGTCACCAATATTCATAAAATACTTAAAGAATGCAAAATCCATACATTTTCAGATGATGTAACCTAATATTGTATTATTATGCTATCAACATTTATCATATTATACCCAATTTTAATACACACATAGACTAAAGTAAGATTTCAAAAATTAAAATATACATAAACACTATGAGATATACACAACCAATAATATGTTCACACAAAAACATTATCTAAAAATTGAAACTGACATAACACTTGCAATGACTATATACATGATATTTATGTAAGCAATAAAAATAAAACTACATAGAATAAAAACTGCTTTATAATATTTTTTAATAAAAACAAAGAAGTTAAAAACCATCAAAAGCATTTATAGTGTTTATCTGGATGAGATTGGATTATTGAGCCAACCATTTAAAAAAGAAAACGTTTTATTGAACATGTTTAAAAAAATCATGTTTAAAGGGTTTGCTTTCATTCAATCAATTTAAAAAAATATATTGCTTAAAAATTCATATATAACTTATTTTATAAGTAAAATCATATTTAAATGCCATGTTCTGTCAGGACATAGTTGATAATAACTCTCCACAGATTCATTCTCTTTATCTATGAATTACCATGACTTCTTGGGAAAGATATTAGAGTAGTTGCTTGTTACATTTTTCACAGTTTTGAATTTAGTATTATCCTTCTCATCCAATGCTGGAGAGCCTAGTCTACCCTGCTATTTATCCCATATCTGGGGTGTAGCAAGAAGAAATAGATTCCTGACTTTTCCCAGATCACTATTTGAACTCTGCTTGTCTCTTAAGTTTAAGTAATGAAATATGGAATTGAAAATTCAGTGAATCAGAGGTGATTATAAAAAGAAATTCATGCATGATCAAAAAGTGTAGTGAGTTTATCAGATATGCTAAATTCATGTAAATAAATTAGCGATAGCCTTTGACAAAAATTTATCAACTTGTCATGTCCTTTGTAGTACATTAGTTGCAAACTGTTGATAGCTTTGTTCATGGGGCTGCAGAAACTGCTGTTATCTGCCTTGCCTTATATATGGTGTCTGCACTCTGCCACTGTTCTTCTGTGGCTCAGCTGATCATTGTTGAATGTTTCTCTTCCTATCTTGACACAACTTTATAAAATATCTTAATCCCAGCTACCTACAGTTGTCAGTGATTTTTTTCCCTTTGATCTGGATAAATGTTCTCTTTACTGTCATGATTAGCAACATACAATCCATCTCCTTTTGACTATCAACTTGTTACTGTCCCAATAATCAACAAACTTTCCTTCACTGTAAATGATTTGATAATCTGGGATGATACTTTGTGCTGTTTCACCAACAATGACACATTTTATGGCAATATTTCTTTATTGTTATGATTATTGCCTGATAAAGCGGCTTTTTTTGTTTTGTTTTGTGATTTGTACTTCATGAAAAATAAGTTCTTGTCATAATTCTTGTAGTGTGAATTAACAAAATGCCAAACACAAAAATGGCAGTAATTTATGTGTGTTAGTGGCATGTTGGGGCAAGAAAAAAATATAATACCACTTTTTGAATATTGTCACAATGCTTGCTTTTGTTTGGTGAATGCAAGTCAATTGTTCAGTGATGCATTCAGGGCTTGAGATTAATATTGGGGATGATTAATGGTTTTGAGGATGATGCAAGTATGATACAAAATTTTAAATTCTGTTATATTTGTTCTAAAAACAAGTAATTTCTTAAAATTAATTAAAAAATATATTCTCATCAATAGTAGTGGGCATACACACATGCACACAAAATAAACAAAACTTAAGATGTTATTTTTAAACTGGTGAATGAAACCTGAATAAAAAATGAAGTTTGAAGGATTTAAATTAGATATTCATATTATTTATCTCTGAATGTGAGAAACATTAGAATTCAAATGTAAGAACTAATTTTTCCTTATTAAAAAAAGTAAGAAAATTATTTTTTTCTGTCATTAACAAGCATTTATGTTTGTTTTCTGCTTATTATAATCTGAATTAAAAATATCAGAGAGAATTTTAAAAAATATAAACAAAAATGAAAAATTTAGCTACAATGCAAGAAAGCTAATTGCAAATAAAAATCTTTTGATAAAGATTTTTAAACTTTTTTGACTATGAATAGTAGTAATATGTTAATATTCTTTATATAGAAAAATGAATGCAGAGGACACAATTCTTAAAGTTACTGCAAGCATTTCTGTGCAAAAATTATTCAAGGTGTGTGGAGTGAGTAGCCATGGTCAAATGCAAAATAAGTAACAGAACTGTCCAACAAATAGAATTGACAAAGTTTGAAATAAGCAATAACAAGAAAAAGTAAAAAAGAACAGGCCAAAAAATAATATAAAGCAAACAAACAATAATGCAAGGCAAATCAACAGAAAGCAAAAAGTTCACAAAAGCAAGTTCAGACAAGCAAATATAGCATTCTGACTTTGAGACAAGACAAACCAGGACTGCATTAGATGAAACCGAGAACCGGCCTGACTAGGAAAAATTCCAGCATGCATTTGTATGCTTTGCCTATAAAAGGGAAGGGGAAAAATGTTTTGCAATCATTCCTAAGGATTGAATCCAACAATTTGATAAAACTGAAGTGTTGAAATTAAAATAGTGGTAATAATAACGGAGAAGCTTGTGCCGTGGCTCTAGATATCTCCAAAGCGTTTGATAGGGTTTGGCATGCCGGCCTTCTTCGCAAGCTTCAGGGTTATGCTATTTCAGGTCAATTGTTTGATTTAATACAATCATTCCTGTTAAACCGTGTATTGAAGGTCGTTCTCAATGGATTCTCCTCCAGCTCCTATTCCACGAATGCAGGTGTTCCCCAAGGCTCTATCCTAGGCCCTACTCTGTTCCTTATCTTCATCAACAATCTTCCTGATGTCATAGATTCTCAAGTAGGCATCTACGTGGACGACACTACAATTTACTCCTGCCTCAAAAACAAATCTAATGTTGTTGACAAAATTAACCTGGCCGTTCGTCTAAAAAAGGACCTCCAATCAGTTGTGAACTGGAGTAGGAATTGGCTGGTTAACTTTAACGCCTCAAAAACAAAACTACTCTCTATTACTCATCACAGAGAACCATCCCTGTCTGAATGTCTGATGCTCAACTTCTCAATAGCTCCTATTTGTGACTACTCAGCCTCACATTGACTGCTGACCTGAGATGGAACAAATATATTGAGTCAATAGCTTCGTCCACCGCAAGGATAGTTGGCTCCCTGTGCCACGCCAGGAAATTTTTCTTGCCGGAATCAATCCTTCAAATCTACAAATCAACCATTTGCCTTTGCATGGAGTATTGCTGCCATATATGGTCTGGTGCCCCTTATGTTTGTCTCAAGGTTCTTGATAAGATCCAGAGACGGATATGTAACGTAATTGGTCCTGATCTGGCATCTTGTCTGCAGTTGCTCTCTCACAAACGTGTCGTTGCCTCCTTCTGTCTTTTTTACAAATACTTTCATGGTAACTGCTCCAAGGAGCTGCTTTCACTGGTTCCCAAACTTCATGAATTTAAGCGTTCTACTAGGCTGGCATCTCGCTCACATCCTTTCACTGTTAAACAGTTAAATGTAGCTGTCTTTTCCACTCCAATAGCTTCATGTCTCGCACCTCTCACTTGTGGAACTTCCTCCCCTCTTCCTGTTTCCCTGATATCTATAATCTCCAACTATTCAAATGTAATGTCAATCGATGTCTCCAGATGCCCTGATCTATCCACTATCCTTCTCTTCATCCTTTCCTCTATCACTCCTATTTGCTCTAGCCCCAACTGTCTGTAACCCCTTGCGTGCTAGTGGCTTCCCGCCTTGCTTGGGGTGAAACACTTAAAAAAGAAAAAAAAAAAAGTTGTGTCTATAAAAATTACAGTAAAATTTAACTAATTTATTTTTGACACTGATATTTTAGCTGTTTAATTTTTGCTTCAACCTGTACTACTTTAATTACTTGATTTCATGACAGTTCTATGATGATGGGGAAAAAAGTTAAATCTCAAGCCCTGGATGCATGTCAAAACTATCCACTTTCATGAACATTGTGCAATTGTTCAAGTTTATAATTTTCTTGATGATCGATTGTAACTTCTCTCTTGAATTCTACAATGTTGTCATTTACTGACTTTTTGCCAAGAACACAAAGTTTCTTAATGCCATGACATTCTTTGAAATGCTTTAACAAGCCCAATGTTATACTGTCATTTTTAACTCTTGCTGGTATAGATTTGTTTGTGGAAACTAGTTGCTTTTTCATGCAACATTGGGCAAGAGATGGGAATCTCTCTCTTTTGCTATTGTGAAAACCACAAAAATACATCTTGGTCAAGTTGTTCATCTTTTCACTGGGTTCATGGATTTTCTTTTAATGCAATGAAATGTCACTTTGATTGATAAATTTCTCAATTGTTAGTTTTGCTTTCTTGATGTTGGACACTTGCATTTCTAGGGTTGTACTCTTAAGCAATCTTTCCTGTATTTTTCACCATAATCCATGAATAATAAATCTAATAAATAATCCAGATGTTGTAAAATCTAACTTTTCCATCTGTCAACATTATTCATTATATCTTCACAGATATGACAAAAGTAATAAGCTCTATCAGTTAGATTTGTACTTGGGAATCAGTGTTCAGATAAGCAATGTTCCACTGTACTGAATTTGTAATCCATTATATATGACAAAAATTGCTTTGTGTATTTGTTGGCTACTTATTATTCAATTGAAATTTCTGTTTGCTTAATATATATCAGTGTACAAATATATTTACTACAATCTAATTTTTTTATAATGTGTATGTTGAAAAGTCGATTTTGTTTGTATTCTGAAGTATAGATGCTTATTTCCAATTTTTTTTTTCATTGTTTCTTTAGACCCTTGATTTCAGAAAATTTCAATGTGTCTCTTTAATTGGTTTTTAATAAATAATCTGGAATGTTTTCATTATAGGACATGAGTAGTAATTGTAGCAGCCATACCCCATCAAATCATAGTCCTGGTCAGCAACAATCTTCAACGCCAGGATATCAACACATCTCAAGTCCAAATGGTAAGAATTATTGGTTCTTGTAACTTGTAGATGCAAGTTTAAAATTTGAAATTTCTGAGAATTTAAAAAAAAAAAAACACTTTTTTAAATATTAATGTTCAAATTTATTTATGAAACATATTCTTTGAATTATGCAAACAGATATTTTTTTCACACATCTGCACTCTCAGCTTATAAAATTGCAGCCTCTTTATAGCAAAGATACTTTTATATAGGCTTTAAGCAGCATCCTTATTGAAGAATTGTCGAGTCAGAATATTTTGTAGTTTAGCTTTTCAAACGAATATTTGAGAGGATCTTTCACAGGCAAGTCTTTTAAAACTCTTTAATTATTAGACGTGATTAATTTCTTAATTTATTGATGAAATTAATAAATTTTAATAAAATATTCAGCTAATACTTGATTTTTTTAGTCCCTTAATTTATAGTTATGCTAAAATATAATCATTCTTAATTGCAATACAAATGAGTAAAACTAATTGCTTAGATTGAGGCACCATGCTCATAGGCATAATGTCCAGTAGGTACATTGTCGGCAAACAAACTGTCTGAGTACCTCTAGACTGATTGCTAGCTAGAGATTGTATTTGTCATGTTAAACTGATATTTATGTTAATTATTTTTATAGGATCATTTCATGGAAGTAGTCATGGTGTTCATCCTTCAAGTTGTAGTCCTGTGCAACCCTCTCTTAGTCGGAATTCAGCTGGGTTAACTGGTACATCTCTTGATTCATCTCGACTTCAACAAAATTCAAATAATTCCCAAGTAAGTTCTGTGGATTTGAGATTTAAATTTTTATTCTGCTGTCCATGGGGTCATTAGCACATGCAAGTCCTTTAGAAACATGTTACTGTTCAATTTCACTTCTATAATTAAAAAGTTAAAAGTGTATATCTCAAACATTGAGTGATGGCGGTAATAAGCCAGAGATTGAAATATAACAGAGCTAAAATTTATATTAATAATATACATCTTGCTCCTCAACAATGAAAATATATATTTTACAGCAAAAATTCAAAATTACCTCATGTAGGTATAGTCTTAATGCCGATCCTCATCACCCTCGACTGCCTGTCTGGAATTGTGGTTTTGAATTTATTTTAGATACTCAAAAGGACTCTTTGTGTTGGTGATGAGGAAAGTGCATAAAGTATCTCTTTAAGGGGAAGTGGTCTTGAGTTGGAGTTTATTTATGGCCAGAGCCTTTCATTGTATGTAAATAGATTTTGGTTCCTACTATGGGATGCTACACTATGCAAACAAGTATGTTTTATTGGGATTTACAGTAAGTAGTATTTAGACAATAAGGGTTTAACATCATTAATAAGTGATGGGGGATTTAAATATATAATAAATAAAAGTTAAAATAAATTAGTTGAGCAATAGATTCATGAATTTTGTGAGAAACACTGACACACCCAGTGGAATAAATTATGCTGTACATCACTCATACATATACCCACACACACGTGTACATTTACATACAAATACATATATGTACCCATACAAACATATATACACATATATGCCATTCAATTATACCATTCAGGACTGGTTAAATTATTAGGAATATGAATCTGCTCTTGGAATTATAAAAGATGAAGATATTAAGGTAAGAATTTAATCACATGGGATTGCATCAGTTTGGCGACTGTAGGGAGATTGGGTGGGGGGATTAGCAAGTAATAAGGAAGGATCTATATTCTCATAAATTTGAACCTGCTCCTATGTCTACATTTCCTAATTAGCTCTTTCCGTTTATTTAATAGTTTGCATTGATTATTTTATTTCATTCTGATTTTCTCCCCTAAACATAGCTTGCACCTATCTCTAAAACTACTGGGGGTGTTTGCAAAACCTAAAATTTTCCAATTTATCTGCGAATTCAGGCCTTTTTCTTCAATTCCTCAATTTTTTTGAAAGGGCTTTTTTGTGTTTTAATTTTGGATTGGTAAATGAATGTCTATGTGTATAAATTCTGTTTTAATTCTCCTGCAAAAATACCAATGTAAATATTATAATTTGTCATATTTTCTTTAGGGTGATGTTTGCCAGGTATATTACCCTGGTGGATCTGATTTGTCCTTGACTACAATTACAGGGTGTTTCAAAAATTACTTAACCCCTATAGGTAGTATCAAAACACTGAAAGTGGGATGTAGGTGTAGAAATAGAAAAAGAAAAATCATTTGGTTCAACTCCCCCTTTCTGCAAACTGACAAATATTAATATTGGAGAATACTTCCTAAAATTAATAACTAAACACTTCCACAAAAACAATCCTCTAAATAAGATATTCAACAGGAAGTAGATCATAATTAGCTATTCCTGCACTAATAATATCTACAAAATTATTAATTCTCATATTAATTACATCTTAAGTAAATTCTATGGAGGGAAAAAAAATTAAATCTAGCATGGAAAGTCTTAATATTTGATATTACTAGGATCCACCTGGATTATATACCAATGAATTTATTAACTGTACTATATATATATATATATATATATATATATAAGTGTCCACATGTGCTTATAATATGTACAATAGATAAGTTAATAAAGCAAGTACAAATGAAAGGGTACCAATATAATCAGTATGATAAACATTTATTTAATATTATTTATTAACCATATGGCAGAAATGAAGCATGGAGAGAAAGGTTATGTGATGCAGTTCAATTTATATTACAATGAATCATTCATACAAAAAGTAAATTAGTAAAGTTAATGATATAAAATGGTGAGATCCCTTTGCTAAATTTTAAAGATGTATTACCCTACCAATCACTCGATGAATGTTATGATCCTTGTTTTTAAAATTATAAACTGTATTAGGTCTTCCTTAAACACACAAGTACTTTTGACTGTACATTCAGTCATGCTCAGGCATTCGAATGGAAAAATTTTCGAAAAAATTCAACTTTAGCGTTGCAACTGCATGCTCCACACGTTTGTATCTGCTATCAATAATACATTTTAAAAAAAAAACATTTTGATTTGCATTATATTTTTTCATCTCGGATGCTACCTAAATTTTACCAAAAACAAATTAATTTCCATACCCAAAGTGAAGGGATTTCACCATTTTATATTATTAAATTTACTAATTTATTTTTTGCATGAATGATTCATTGTAATATCTTCAACAACAGTACATAATTTAGACTAATAAATCCAACAAAAACAGAACTAGGCCTTATCTCAAAAGATATAATTAAAAAAAAATAACCGACAATTTACTAATCACAACCAGCACTAACCTTTGGAAGGATTCATCTGACACTATTAAATTGTTCACTAACATGAGAAATAAGGATAAAGTGACGTTCATTAATTTTGATATAATTGACTTCTATTCCCTCTATCACTAGGGGCCTCCTGGTCAATAGTATCAACTTTGCAAAGAACTATATAGAAATAACATAGGTACCTCCACGAGATCGCTAAAAAAAGAGCATAGCATGATGAAAAGACGCCAAACTTAACGGAAAAACAAAATTTTATCGTCTAAATGTTTGTTATTATTAAGAGGAAAGGTCAAAGTATTTTTAGGGTATTTTTCCATTTTTTAATCGTTCCTAGCATGTCTGAAATTTTAGTTAAAATCTAGTTTTTTTGAGTCAGCAAAATTGATCATTTTTTCCATTTTTAAAAAAAATGGAAATCTGACTTTGAAATTTTTTTAAATATCAATTATCATTTTTCAAAACTTATTTTAAGAAAATCAGAAATTATAATGTTTATTTAAAATATTTTGAACCAAACTTAACTTAGCTTTTGTGCCAAAAAGATGTAATTTGAAAATAAAACAAAGCAGGTCATAAACTTTTGCGTCTCTTGACATGTGATGAATGATATATTTACCAATTCCATGAGGCTAATTTGTTCTCTGGAAGGAGAAAAGTGAAATAATTTACATTTACGAACAAATTATTTACCCCGTTATTTTTTGGACGAAAACTTTCAGCAATCTAATTTTTTTTTTTTTTTGGTACTTAGCTTTCACCTTTACGTTTATGATGCTTTTTTGGGAAATATATTGTAAAGAAATTAAAATAAAACTGACATTAAATTTCATATTTCTTAAGAAAGGTATCTAATTAATTTATAGGCACCTTTCTTATGAAATTTTTATCAGAATTGCCAAAAATACTATAATTTTATGTACATTTATTACATTCTACTGTTATTTGTATTTGCATTCATTTTATTATTAATTTGATATTTCATTTATGGAAAATGTCGAACAAGATTAATATAAAATAAGATCATATAAATTTCATAAGATGATACTGATACTTGTTGAAATTGAAAAATCAAAATTAAAATCTCAGTTGAAATTGAAAAAAATCAAATTAACTTCTCCACACGTGTTTCTTCCTAAATTACATTTCTAATTACTGGGGATCTTCTGATTAGTCAAATTGATACAATTTACAACGCTAAAAAATCTATCTTATATGATACACTTATGAAAACCGATGCTTTTTTAACTAATTTTATAATATTTTAACAACTTAAATGTAAAATCTATTATAATTAATGAAATAACAAATAATTGTATTAAAAATTCATTTTTCATCGAAAAATTTTTTTGCTTTCAGAAAATATTGTCCATATTCATAAAAACAACTAAAAGCAAATAAAAGCATTTGAAATTAAATAATATCTTTTTTATTGAGTTTTGTATGTTACAATTCAGAGCTGATTTTCAGGTACTGCGTATCCAATTAAAAACAAAAAAAAAACATGATTTGCATTCCTCAAAGCCCTGTGCTTTTAATTATTGTAATCACTAAAACCGATGATCAAATTTCTAGCGTTTTCATAAAATTAGTTATGGGGGGTAATAAATTTTAAAAAAATATTTCTACCATGACTTTCATAAAAAAAAAACATATTTATAATAATTTTGATCATCTGTGAATAGTTTCTGAAAGTTTTCATTAACATCCGATAATTATTTCTATTTTTTGCACGATTTTTCAAATTAATGTGTGTCATACCAAAAAACGTGCTAAAATTGTCTATGTTATTTACTAGTTCCGCTGATACAAATAGAAAAAAGGTTTTTTAATCAAAATTTAGAATGTTCTAAAAGAAGGAAAATTTTTTTAAAAATAATAAAAAAAACTTTGGTCTTTCCTCTTAATAATAACATCAGCATTTAGTCAATAAAATTTAGTTTTCGTTTGGTGTCTTTTTTCATCAAGCTATGCTCTTTTTTTAAGCGATTTTGTGGAGGTACCTAAAATAACATGATGAAACTAATATCATCTTAACGACGAGAAAGTCACTGCTAACACTGAATAATTCCACCTGGACTTAGCGCCACAATGACGAATTTGATGTCCCCATATGAGGGTATGACTCAGCCCAAGTTGCAGACCTAGTATGTTTTTTTATATTTTAAATGTGCTTAGTAGAATCGTAAAACCAGAACCAATAGGACTCTATCAGTATGACAGGCTCATCCACATCCCTAATAGTAATGGTCCACTAACAGCAAAATTACAAAAGAAAATTATCAGGGCCTGCAAATTCCTAGGGTTTAAGATTGAGACTTCCTCTAACCTTAAAATAGTTGACTACCAAGATATCACCTTTAAAGGTGATATCATTATGGTTAACCTTAATGATGAAATCTTTAAACCTTAGCATAAAGAGAAAGAACCCCCCCCCCCGCCAACTACATTAATATTGGTTCTAACCACCCCAGTGCAATTGTAAGACAAATACCCACTACCGTTTGCACCAGGATT